TGTCCCCTCCCTCCTAATTTAGCTTTAAAATAAGAGTTTATGAACACTTCAAGGAACCTCCATTAGGCATTCATGTTGTCCTTACTAGTCTTTTTTTTTTTTTTTTTGAGATAAGAGTCTTGCTTTGTCACCTAGGCTGGAGTGTAGTGGCATGATCTCGGCTCACCGCAAATTCCACCTCCTTGGTTCAAGCAATTCTCCTGCCTCAGTCTCCCGAGTAGCTGGAATTAACAGGTGCTTGCCACCTCACTTGGCTAATTTTTGTATTCTTGGTAGAGAGGAGGTTTCACCATGTTGGCCAGGCTGGTCTCGAATTCTTGACCTCATGATCTGCACACCTTGGCCTCCCAGTGTTGGGGTTACAGGCCTGAGCCACTGCGCCTGGCCGTCCTTCCTAGTCTTAAGTGGCGCTACCTAATGAGGAGAGGGAAGGAAGTTGAATGGGGAAAGAAAAACAGTCTTGTATTTCCTCTTACGGTATGCTATGTGAGAACTAGTATGTATTTCCTAAGGGCTGATAGCATTAAAACCCAGTTATAATCATCACTTGATGGGATTTTAAACTCCTGGAATAATATCAGTACATCACTGTATGAGATTTTAATCAATTTCTGTTTTAAATTTAGATCTCTTCTATAGGATTCACCTTGTCTGATAAAGTGGATGGTCCATTCTTTCTGGAGATAGATTTTATTGGAGTGTTTACTGATCCAGCCCATACAGAAGAATTTGCGTATGAAAATTCTCCAGAGCTTAACCCAAGGCTTTTTAAATAAAGATTATGTGGTAGTTTTGTTTTACTAATCTAAGGGTACTAGCATCTATAATGATGTAGACAAAATAAAATATTTCTTTAATGGCATCCAACCAATGGCTAGTATGTATTCTCTCTCTCTTTTTTTTTTCTCTTTTGAGATGGAGTCCCACTCTGTTGCCCAGGTTGGCATGCTGGTGTACAGTAGTGCGATCTTGGCTCACTGCAACCTTCTATCAGCCTCCCGAGTAGCTGGGATTACAGGCATGCGCCACCACGCCCAGCTAATTTTGTATTTTTAGTAGAGACAGGGTTTCTTCATGTTGGTCAGGCTGGTCTCGAACTCCTGACCTCAGGTGATCCGCCCGCTTCAGCCTTCCAAAGTGCTGAGATTACAGGCGTGAGCCACTGCGCCCAGCTGGCTAGTATGTATTCTCTAAGACAAGTTGAAATGCTGTTGCTGGCCGGGCACGGTGGCTCATGCCTGTAATCCCAGCACTTTGGGAGGCTGAGGCAGGAGGATCACTTAAGGTCTGGAGTTCGAGACCAACCTGACCAGCATGGTGAAACCCCATCTCTACTAAAAATACAAAAGTTAGCCGGGCATGGTGGCGCACGCCTGTCATCCCAGCTACTTGGGAGACTGAGACAGGAGAATTGCTTGAACTGGGAGGCAGAGGTTGCAGTGAGCCGAGATCACGCCACTGCACTCCAGCTTGTGCCACAGAGTGAGACTCTGTCTCAAAAACAAAAAATGTCTGTTGCTAAGAGGGACTGGATAAGGGGAACACAGCATGGAACCAGGTTCTCTGGTGTACTTTATCTCATAGAATGCAAGTACTGATGCAAATGTACTATGTAAATAATTTAGTGTTTTTGCTCAGAACAGTTGCTGTTAGGAACATTTCCTACATGAGTAGTTTCCAAAGCAGGAATCTCTGAGATGACCGTTAATGGCCTTCTACCACTCTGTTGCATTTAGATTTCTTCTATTTTCATTTTGTGTTGCTTTTTTGAGATGGAGTTCCGCTCTGTTGCCTAGGCTGGAGTGCAGTGGTGCAATCTTGGGCAAATCTGCTTCACTGCAACCTCTGCCTCCCAGGTTCAATCGATTCTCTTGCCTGCAGCCTCCCCAGTAGCTGGTATTACAGGCACACACCACCATGTCTGGCTAATTTTTTTGTTTTTAGTAAAAATGGGGTTTCGTCATGTTGGCCAGGCTAGTCCCGAACCCCTGACCTCAGGGTGATCTGCCCAAGGCAATAATCAGTGAAATCACAGAGACTTACTCCTGTGGTTTCTTCTAAGACTTTTGTAATTTTAGTTCTAACACTTAGGTCTATGTTTTTTTGTTTTTTTTTTTTGAGATGAAGTCTTGCTCTGTGGCCCAAGCTGGAGTGGCAGTGGTGTGATCTCGGCTTACTGCAACCTCTGCCTCCCAGTTCAAGCAATTCTCCTGCCTCAGGCCTCCTGAGTAGCTGGGATTACAGTCATGCGCCACCATACCTGGCTAATTTTTTTTTTTTTTTTTGTGATGGAGTCTTGCTCTGTCACCAGACTGGAGTGTAGGGGCATGATCTTGGCTCCCTACAACCTCCACGGCCTCCCAGGTTCAAGCGATCTCTGCCTCAGCCTCCCTGAGTAGCTGAGATTACAGGTGCCCGCCACCACGCCCCAGCAATTTTTGTATTTTTAGTAGAGACAGGGTTTCACCATTTTGGCCAGGCTAGTCTTGAACTCCTGAGTCTCGTGATCCACCCCCTCAGGCCTCCCAAAGGTGCTGGGATTACAGGTGTGAGCCACCGCACCCAGTCCCTCTTTTATCTTTTTTTTTTGAGACGGAGTCTCACTCTGTCATCCAGGCTTGAGTGCTGTGGCATGATCCGGGCTCACTGCAAGCTCTGCGTCCTGGGTTCACACCATTCTCGTTACCTCAGCCTCCCGAGTAGCGTGGGGAGCTAGCAGTGC